TTCGGAAAAATTGAGAATTATATGTGTCAAACTATTGTTTTAATCATTAGATAATGGTAGTACGTCGAATTCAGAGATGGGGGATTTTTACGAAATTGAAATTGGAGGTCTGAAAGACCTTCAACAGTGAAAAACACATAAATTATGCATTTTGAAGGTCCATGACAGACGCCATGAAGCCCCTGATGGTGGGTGATATGCCTGTGATGCTTCACCCATCGTGGCCAGGCATATTTGAGTTTAAACACAGTTTTGATCATAACTTTTAATCCGTAAGTTCAAATGAGTTGTCGTTCAACATGTTGGAAAGCTAACGTGAATTACTGTCAAATGGAATTTTTTGTAGGGGCTAAATGTGTTGAGATAACATGAGTAATTTATGATATTTACATGTATTGTTGATGTTATGTTAGCAATGATGCTATGCCGAGTATGTTTGTAAGTGTGAATATGATTTGATGTATTGAGCATGATGAGTATGAATGATGTGTTGTTTTCATGTGAGTTAATGGTTTAATTGAGAGTAACTATTTAATGCATGTGTTACATTGATATTATGTTTGTGATGTGCATATATGTTGTTGTTGTTATTGTATGGTAATCCAGATAGGGGATTACGAGAGTTGTCAGTGCATTATGTTAGGATCAGAGAGGGTCTTAATACATTGATATTGATGATAAGATCATGCATCATTTGAGTTGTGTCAAGAGGCATGTTAGCTAGCTCAGAGAGAGGACTAATCACTTGTCCAAAGCTCAGAGAGGGAGGGGTCTTGGAGCTTAGAGAGGGGGATCATGGGTTCATAGAGAGGACTCGGTTCCAGAGATAACCTGATATTGAGTTGGTACCACGTGCATATGCATCGAGTTGCATAGTTGAGTCGTATTGCATAATTAATTTTTATGCGTAATAATGATTTATGTATGATGTTGCGTTGGGTGTGAGAATACTGTTATACAGAGATGTTATGTGATTACTTGTTGATTGCGTAGATGTTATACTCTACCTTGCAGTATGTATCGCTTATTTTATTAATATAATTTCTCACCTCTTTGTTGTTGTTATGGTCTGTGCTCCTCTCCGGAGTACAAATAAGCAGATAACCGAGTAGCTACTTAGAGAAAAAGGGTGACAAAATTTTCTTCTTCTTTCCTTTTGTTCGTGTATCTAAATTATGTTTCTCTGATTTGTAACACTGGGTGGGCAAACAATAATATTTCTATTTTTTTGTCTGTTGAATTATAGATTTAGATGATACACTCTCAAGTTTTCTTGCTTATGTGATTTATGGGTACTTTATCAATAATTGTTTGCGTTTTAATAAAGTATTTTATGAGATTTAATTAAATTTAGTATTATGTTTATCTTTATGACTCCTTTGTAAAGATACCCCAAGTGAAAGTGAACATGCGATGATAGGTGTTGAATATCTTGTTATATGATTATGTGTTACAAAATAAATGAGTTTGATGTCGAGTAACATCCTAAGTGAATATGTGTTTTTTATATGCTTGAGTTTATAATAATAAGCGCGGGGATTTTATGGTGTTACATTCTACGCATATGACGAGTAGAAAGGATTGGTTTTTCAAAATCAATCAAACCACGAAGGACAAAGTGAAATTCGCGGATGACACCACTTTAGCGGCTGATGGGATCGATGATGTTTTGTTCATGAGAAGGGATGTTAGATATTCCTTGATCAAATATGTATTGTACATTCATGGAATCAAATTTAACCTTCTATGTATTTGTCAATTGCTTGAGAAGGGTTACAAGATTCGCATGGAAGACAAGATATTACGTGTTATGGACGAAAACATGGTTTTGGTCCTTAAAGCTCTTATGGCTGCCAATAGAACTTTCAAGATTGAATTGAAGGTGATAGATCATAGGTGTCTTGATATAGCAGAAAGTCGAGAAGAGTGGTTATGGCACTACCGTCTTGGGCATCTCAATTTTTGAGATCTCAATTTATTACAAAGGAAAAGAATGGTAATCGGGTTTCCATCCATCAACATTCCAGCTGAGATGTGTGAAGAGTGTGTTCAAGCGAAACAACACAAGGGTAAATTTAACAAGGACGCAAGTTATAAAACCAAGCATCGCCTTGAGGTGGTATATTCTGGTATGTGTGTGGGCTGATGCAAGATGATTTGTATGGTGGCAATAGGTATTTTGTTATGTTAATCGATTATTTTAGTTAAAAGTTATAGACATATCTAATCAAGAGAAAGGATAAGGTATTCAAATTTTTTAAGAAGTTCAAGTCCATGTTTGAGCAATAAAGGGGTCACAAATTGAAAGTTCTCAAAACAGAGGGTGGAGGCGAGTATGTCTCAAATGACTTTGGGAAGTTTTGTGATCAAGAGATGATAATGCATGAAGTAGTACTAACATATACACCGCAAAAAAAATAGTGTTTCCTAAAGAAAGAATCGATCAATTATGAACATAGTGAGAAGCATGTTAAGAGGGAAGAAATTATCGAAAGAGTTGTAGGGAGAAGCGGTGTCTATAAAAACCTATTTATTAAATAGGTGTCCTACAAGGAATCTTGAGAAGATAACACCGGAAGAAGCATGGTCTGAATTCAAGCCGAATCTAAACCATTTAGAGTTTTTGGTTTTGTGGCGTATCGACATGTTCTGGGTTAACTTAGAAAGAGGTTGGATGTCAAAGAAGATATGATGATACATGTTGGGTATCACCCTACTGGAGGCTAGAAGTTGTTTGATGTTGAAAACAGCTTGTAAATGTGAGACAACCAACTAGGAAAAGAGGTTTGCCTCAAAGACTCCAAGATTGTGAGATATTCTGGGATAACAAAATCAATGATGATGGTGATTTTGTCCATTTTGCACTTATGGCCGAATCTGAGCCCATTAATACAGAAGAGGCCTTTAGTAATCCAAAGTGGGTTTGTACAATGAAAGAAGATCTGGAATCGATTGAGAAAAATAGTACTTAGGAGTTGGTTGATCCATCGAAAGGAAAGAAGTTGATTGGTGTAAGATGGATCTATAAGATGAAGGCAAATCTCAAAGGTGAAATAGTCAAGCACAAGGCTCGATTAGTTGTGAAGGGATTTTCGCAAAGAGAAGGTATAGACTTCAATGAGGTACTTACACCGATTGTTAGGATTGAAGCCATAAGGCTAGTTATTGGTATTACGAATAAAAACAATTGGTCTATTCTATCAAATGAATGTGAATTCTGCATTTTGAATGGTCTGCTAAAATAAGAGGTGTATGTAGAATAACCCACTGATTTTGTTGTGAAAAACAAATTGGGAAGATTCTACAAGTTGAGGAAAGCGTTATATAGTTTGAAGAAAGCTCTGAGAGCTTGGAATAAAAGGATAAATGGTTTCCTAGTTGAGGTTAGCTTCAAGAAATGTGTGTCCGAGCATGGAGTTTATGTAAAGACGGATACAAGTGAAGGTGTGATCCTTCTTTGTCTTTACGGGGATGATTTATTGATCACGTGAAGCAACCAGATAAGTATTTCTAAGTTCAAGAGTGAGCTTATGAAAGAATTCGAGATAAGCGACCTTGGTATCATGACATACTTCCTTGGCACATAGTTCCACAAGTCTAAAAGGGTAAATCTTATGCATCAAAAGAGATATGTCCTTGAGATATTGAAGAAGTGTGAGATGGAGCATTGTAATGTTGCCATAACATCAGTTGAACCAAGATTGTAGCTGTCCAAGAATGAAGAGGAGCAGAATGTATCTAACTCAATATAGAAGGTTGATTGGATTATTACGTTACTTGTGCAATACGCATCCAGATTTGACGTTTAATGTTGGTATTGCGAGTTAATTCATGGAGAGGCCAAAGGTGTTTCAGTTGACAACTGTCAAGAGAATCCTACGATACGTCAAAGGGGTCTATTGGTTGCAAAATTTTCTTTGCCGCAGCCGATACAGGTAGAAAATGCAATTTGATTGGTTTTACCGATTCCAATTGGAGTGGAAATAAAGATTGTCGAAAGTCTACAGCTAAATACATCTTTATGTTCGGTGGAGCACCAATCTCATGGTGCTCGAAGAAGGAACCGATAGTTGCACTCTCATCTTATGAGGCAAAATATATTTCCACTTTGTTATGTGCGTAAGCCGTGTGGCTAATGAATCTATTGAAAGAGTTGGGCAATAATAATAGTGAAGCTATCACACTCTTGATTGATAATATTTTAACTATTAATCTTGTGAAAAATCCAATTACACATGAAAAGAACAAACACGTTGCGATATGATTTCACTATTTGAAAGAGCTTATTAGTGAAACATAAATAATACACTTAACATAAATAATATAACCGACAATTCAATTATAATTCAAAAATAAATATTTTACGAGAGACCCGACTAAACATTTACTTTTAAATTACTATCACTACCCGTAGTGATTAAGAGAGCTCTTCATTCTTTTTCATGTAAGTAGTTTTTAACTTTTAAGTTGATTTAATAATTGATTTATCTAATTTCTAATTTAAAAAATTTAAATATATAATTTACTAATTGATTGACCCTAAATGTCAATTTCAACACTGAATAATTTAATTTGAAACTCATTTCAAGATAATATAAAATCTAAGGAAGGAAGGTTGGTGAGTTGACAGTGAATTACTCGCACCACCGAGAGGTGGATAAAATTTTAATGAATTTAAACGTATAACACAAATAAATGTTCTATATATTTTTAAAAAATTGATCATAGAAATGAAAGAATTGTTTAAGATTTTAGTGTGGGATATTTACACGTAAAAATCCTATAAAAGACCTCGTTTTTCGAGCAACCCTAAGCAAGCAGGAGAGCATAAGCTGTGGTGAGTCATTTTCTCTCTCTTGACCACCTCTATATCTGTGTCATAATCTCACACTTCTTCATCAACCTTTCTTCTCTCTCATCTCATACATAGATAATAGATTCTATACAATTTCGCAGTTTCCAAAGAAAACCAACTCCATTCATATAAAACAACAACAACTATGGACTCATCTTCCTCTTCACCCCCCACAACCACTAACAACACCTCCCTAGCTTTCTCTCTTTCCAATCACTTTCCCAACCCTTCACACTCTTCTTCCTCTCACCTCTCTCTCTTCCACTCCTTCACCCCTTATCCTCCCCCAACACCATCTCTCACCCTCAACCCTGTAGGCACATCGCCGGAGCCAACTGACAGAAGAACCACCAACCTCTCCATATTCAGTGGCGCACACAAGCTCGAGAACTTTCTAGGAAACTCCACCGCCACCACATATGCACCGCCACAGGCTTACCATCTTTCCACCGACATATACGATTCTGAGCTGAAGAAAACAATAGCCGCTTGCTTCCCTCACGGCTATCCAACCGAACCAAACTCCGATCCTCCTAAACCTCCCCCCAAGAAAACCGTCGACACCTTCGGCCAACGCACCTCCATTTACCGCGGCGTCACCCGGTAAATATTTTTACTACGTTGATAGTTGATAGTCTATGCAGTATCCACACCTCTGGAAAAAAATTATGTCTGTGTCGACTCTGACACACACTCTCGTAATATTTTCTTAATGAAAATTACAAAAAATAATAGAATTATTTTTTGATATTTAATACGTATATCTTTGTTATTATTTTCAGGCATAGATGGACAGGAAGATATGAAGCTCATTTATGGGACAATAGTTGCAGAAGAGAAGGACAAAGTAGGAAAGGAAGACAAGGTACAACAATATGCTATAATCTTGGGATTAGGGCTTCAAAATTTTGAATTTAATGGTTAAAACTAACGTGCGCTTTGATGCACACGAGCAAAGTGGGTCCACGAGATATACTGTGTGACCACTGACCGGAATAAATGGGAGTTAAAGAATGTGTCATTGTTTTCAAATTTCAAATCTCAATGCAAAAAGCCTCTTCTCAATCAACGGTTCAGATTGATTCACTTCCATGCACAACTGCACTGGATTATTATTGCTATGTTTTTGATGATTCTGATTCTGACTTGTTTTTTTCTTTTCTTTTGTACGTGGTGAATGATTGCTGATTCGTGTGATGTGATTTTTTGCTTCAGTTTATTTAGGTGAGTTAGTACTTTTGTTGACCAGATCATCATTTTGTTTTAGCATATTCTAACTTCATGTTATTAAGATAATGAATTTGAAGCTGTAGTTTTTTTAGATTCAGATTCCACTATAAGTTTAAGTAATCATTTTTTGGTCATAAAATTGAATTTTTGTTTCTTGTTGTATCCTTAGGTGGATATGATAAGGAAGAGAAAGCAGCTAGAGCTTATGATCTTGCTGCTCTCAAGTACTGGGGTCCAACTACCACTACCAACTTTCCAGTAATTAACAAAGATCCTTTATTTTTTTTTAGTACTATATGGAAATAAATAAATAAATAAATATTGATCTATATTTTTTTTTGTTGGAAAATTCTTAGATTTCCAATTATGAGAAAGAGCTTGATGGCATGAAGAACATGACTAGACAAGAGTTTGTTGCTTCTCTAAGAAGGTTACTCTTTACATTCAAAAAATTTATATACAATAAATTTATATGGTTTTTATGAATAGTTTTATGGACATTTTGATTTTCCTTCTTGGTATATAGGAAGAGTAGTGGCTTTTCAAGAGGAGCATCAATTTATAGAGGAGTAACAAGGTAAGTTTGAGTTTTAAACTTCTTCTAGTCCTTATATATATTACAAGAAAATTTACTTTTTAGATTCTTAAAATAAATAATAAATCAGATATATTGGTTATATAATAAATTTAAAAGAGTAAAATTTCTCTAAGATTAAAGATTAATTTTTAGTGACATACTTTTCAAATATTTTGGCTCCTAGTGAATATTTTTTATTATGAATGAATAGAATAAGAGTATTATTACTATATTTAGGATAATGAAGATTGAATTTCTTGCAGACACCACCAGCATGGTCGATGGCAGGCAAGGATAGGCCGAGTTGCCGGAAACAAAGACCTCTACCTTGGCACTTTCAGTATGTTCTCATCCATATAATCATATCATTTTTTTTTTCTTTCTTTGTATTTATCAACTTATGATAATATTTTGATAATGTCTTTCTTATCTTCATTCTTAAGTTAATCATTTTTTAAATTTATTTAGGCACACAAGAAGAAGCTGCTGAAGCTTATGATATAGCAGCAATCAAATTCAGAGGACTAAATGCAGTTACAAACTTCGACATGAGTCGCTACGATGTAAAAAGCATCGCAAATAGTTCTCTTCCCATAGGAGGTTTATCGAATAAGAACAACAGATTTTCTACAGATCATTCTTTATCAAAAAGCAAAATCCTTGAAATCGCAAGTATATCAGATGAAAGAAATCCGTCAACAACCTTCACAATATCGCAACAACCTTCAAGTTCTACCTTAAGCTTCGCGGCTCCTATTAAACAAGATTCTTCTTCAGATTACTGGTCCAATATTCTTGGAATCCATAGTAATAATAATCCTAGTCAAGTTCTTCCGTCTTCCACACCCTTCAACATGGATTTTTCTTCTCATGCAACTTCGAATGCAAACGGCGATAACAATGGAGGTTTTTTCAGTGCATCAGTTGTTCAGCAGCAACAAAATGGAGATAATTCTTCATCTTTATCGTCGTCTTCAACAAGTACAATTCCATTTGCTACACCAATATTTTCTTTAAGTAGTAATAATAGTTATGGAAACAACTGGATTAATAATGGACACACATTCCAAACACATGCAAAGCCAAGTCTGTTTCAAACACCAATATTCGGAATGGAATGAGCTCATGCACCAGATAGAAAAGAAGATGAGAATCTGTGCAAATAATAATAATAATAATAATAATAATAATAACGAATGATGAAAGTGTTCAAGGACACAGTGATGTAGTGTAGTGATGGTAACATGCAATAGAAGCAGAAAAAGATAAGGACTGGTCTTTAGATTTTCATGAGATAGCTATATTGCTGACACTATGTACTACTAACTCAAAGTTTCTTTGTTTTAAGTCTTGAATTTTTCCTTTGTTTTTGAATTATTTTGCGCTTTGTCCCTGTTCATCAACTTGCCTCATACGTGAAAGACATTCAATGCTGTGTATTACTTTGTATAGGCACGAGTAAGCATTAAAAAAATAGTTAAAAATTGTTTTTTGACGTAGAAAATGTAGATATAAAGATAATATTCGTTGAGTGTTTGACGTTTATCGTGAGTGGGGATCTCTTTAATTTGGCTAGCTGGATTTGTTTCACATGCAAGAGCACACGTCTCTGTACACTATGAAGTCAGAATCATTCATTGCCTTTTACTACAGTACTTTTTATTATACTAGGAAAATAACAAATAAATAAACACCTTAATTGTTATATTTATTGTAGTTTCCACATGATATAGTGCATTGCACGTTTTCTACTTGAGTTTCAACAAATGTGTAGTCATAATCTAACCTTCTTTGCTTTAGATAAATTTAAAAGATAAAATAAATTAATATCTTATTACATAATTGTAGAGACTAATATGTTGATATGTGTTAAGGTGAGAATTAAATTCAGAACCTTTTATTAAAATCAATGTTTTAAAACCCAGATCGGTGATCGACTCGGTAAAGTTACTGGGTCACTGGATTACCAGACCGCATGACTTTTGATCCGGTTTCTATAAATAATATATTCATTACCTGAAATTTGTAACTATAAGTATTAGTAACAATCAAAATAAGTGATAGAAACTTAATGTAGCAAATTATAAATTCAAAGAAGGGATAGAAACTTAATAATTCATAAGTTATAGTATTATAATAAGTCACAAAAATCCATAATTTTTTATGTCCATGAAGTCAAATTGTCATAATCTTGGTATTCATATCCATCTTCAACTTCACTATCTTCTCCACTAACTTCATTTTCTCTGGTGGATTCACAAGCACAAACTATATTATGCTCATATTAGAACATTACCAATATCACTTAAAATTGGTTGGATGGTCATATTTGCAAGGTCATTTCGCAATGCTTCCAACTCTTCATTGGTTAAGAGAGGTGGTGAATCTTCTAATACCCAACTAGAATGTTCGGCAATTGTTTCAATATTGATAGGATCATAACTCTCATTTCTTATTTTCTTAAGCACACATGAATTAAATCTAAGTATATGTATTTAAATATAAAAATATAATGATTAGAGAAAAATAACCATAATAATACATATTTTGAAGTCTCAAGTTGTAACGAACAAACACTAAATCATTAAGTTTTTGGTGCTCCAATCTATTTCTTTTTTTGGAATGAATATGCTCAAATATACTCCAATTGCATTCACAATCCGAAGCATTACAAGTTTGGCTTAAAATACGAATAGCTAACCTTTGCAAAGTTGGTGTACAAGTGCCATAAGTTTCCCACCATTGATTTGTTTATACCATGTGATTAAATAAATTTATAAACATATTGAAATATAAAATAAAATTATCAAGAGTTAGAAGTTATGAAATTACCCGCCCTCACAATACATCGTTCATCCACGGTTGATTTCCTTCCAAAATCTAATTCACCGTCTTTGAATATTCTCATCTGATCATCTGTTAACTTCAATCGAAGTTCAGAATTTCCATTAGCATGCTTTTCAATGACATCTAAAAGTCCTGATGTTGTGGATGCATGTTTTTTAAATTTTACATCATTATATCTACAAGCTGAATTCAACCAATAACCGGCAGCATGAAGATTTTTGCGGAGCTGTGAATCCCAACGTTTATCTAAGATTTTCAAATAAGGATCCACTTTCTTCTTATTTCTTTGAAACCTCCTCACCATCTCCTCTCTAACTTTGACTATAGATTTGTATAGAATGCCCATAGCAGGTTTATCTTCACTATCAACAATACGCAACACACACACACAAGTGGTTTAGTGAGTTTAATTACATCAACACATTTACTCCAAAATCCAGAATCTAAAACTTGATCCACAAACTGTTTTACCTTTGCTTCTTTGGCATATGCTGAGCTTGTCCATTCTTTAGATGTTACCATGGCTCTTAGTGAGTTTTTGTGAGACAAAATACTTTGCAAAGCAATGAAATTAGTGGCAAACCGAGTTGGAGCAGGACGAAGGATTTCTCTTCCATCTGTTTGCTTTCTCATTAAATACAATGCATAACAATGGTTATAAATATATTTGGTAACATTAGAAGCATGTGACACTGTCTCACTTACTTCCTCTAATTTTCCTATATCTTGCAACATCAAGTTAATGCAATGTGCCGTACAAGAAGACCAAAATAAAGTAGGAAACTCATCTTCTAATAACCTTCAAGGAGCAACATAATGTACAACATTATTTGTCACTATGTGAACTACATTTTCAGGCCCAACAAATAAAACCACCACTCTAAAAAGCTTATACAACATATCTGCAGTTTTTGAAGCATGAGAAACATCAACGGATTTTAGAAAAATAGTACCTTTGGGACAATAAACTAGAAAGTTTATAAGAGTTCTTCTTTTTCGATTAGTCCATCCATCGTCCGTTAGAGTACAACCAGTTTTCTTCCAAATCTCACGATACTCCTCTATCAATTTGTTCACATCTTCAACCCATTTATTTAACAAATAGCCACGAAGACTATGTATAGTTGGAACTTTATACCCCAGACTCATGTTGTAAAGTGCATCAGCCATCGATTGAAAATACGCAGAATTAGCTGCATTGAATGGCACAGAAGAATCGATGAACCATCTTGCAATAGCTAGATCACACTTCTCCACCAATTTCTTACTTTGTAACATACTTTTTAAAGAAGGTTGAGCTCCAGGAGTTGTTCTAGGTATAAAATAATTACCAATACGACTAGTATTCTTTCTCTTTTGAGACACAATCACTGAATTTGATCTTGATTGTTCTACATCCATTTCTACTACACCACCCTCTTGAGTAGTAAGATCAACATTAAAATTTTGTGCTTGCGTCTTTCTTCTCTTATTTGCACCTTCATCAAGATTTTATTGCATTTGATATTGAACATCTGGAGGCACCTTTTTATATGTTTCAACTTGACCTTTTATTCCAGCCAAATGAAATTTGAACCTATTAATCCCCCTCCTCTAATAATTTTATCACAGTAAATACACAAATTAACAAGTTTTCATTTCTCTTCAATTTGTTTACAATGACCCCAAGCTATATCAGTTTTTCCCCTACTGCTTTGGAGTTGGGTTGGATTTTGAGATGTAACTTCTTCCGAAGTTATTACTTCAGCGGGTGATGCCATATCTAATATCAATCAAAATTTAAAAATACAAAACTATATTACAAAAATATTAACAAAACACAATTCTAAACAAAAATTATTGAATTTATAAAAACATTATAAGAAACATTAAATATGTAGCATATCTAAATCCAAAATATATGAATATGTTGTTGTATATTACATATAGGCTACCAAGCATCGTTAATGTGTATCACCATATATAATAAAAAAATAGAAACTTTGCTTTCCAGCCTTTGCTATATATTTTAAATTAATAAAATCCTGAAACTTTTCTTTGTTATATAATTTAAATTAATAAAAAACAGAAAACTTTGTCTTAGTATATAATTTAGATTACATAGTTTTAAACCCAATTTCTATCTCCATAATATATACAACGACTATTAGAGTAATATATATTTATCTCAATTTCTATCTCCAATATACAACAACTTCATTACCGGTCTATAATAAGTTAATTCATAAAAGTATAAAACTACTTCATTCATACAAATTCTATCTCAATTTGTTAAACTAAAAGACCCAATTTTATAGAAAATGATCAAATTTAATCATTTATTTTCTATATCAATTAATCAACAAAATGGAACAATAATATTCATATTGAAAAACATCAATGCAAATTAGACCAAGTAAAAAAGAAATAACATATTTTTGATGTTTTGATGAAATTTTTTACGGCAAACAAGGAATATCAAATAACAGCAGCAACTGAGAGTTTTTGTTGGTAGAGAAAATTGAGAATATGACTTCAATTAGAAAAAGAAAAGACAGAATAAAAAAGAAAACTTTTCAAATGCCTAGGTTTGGGAAACGAGGAGGCAAAACGTTTATGTTAATTTTTTTTCAAAAGCCCTAAAAAATAAAATAAATAATCAAACCCGCCGGTTCAGTAAAAACCGCCGATTCACTGGTTTAACCGGTGATCCGGCCGGTTCACACCAGTTTCATCCTATCTAAATGTAATTCTGATCGTATCCCTTAATCGGATCACCTGGTCCACCGGTTCTCGGTCAGACCGGTCTGACCAGCCGGGTCGAACTAAATTTTAAAACACTGATTAAATAGAAGAGATCATTTATGTAATAAGATATTAAAAAAATATGTATAGTTTGTTATGATAAAGAAGTTGGAATATTTTATTAAAATATGATTTTATTATTATATTTTAATAATTATTATGTTGGGTATAAGCTTGGAGGAAATTGTATATATTTATATTAATAGTATTCATTAAGATTAGTTTAATTTTTATTTAAAAATTAATTAATTAATTAATTTGTAGGATACAAGTTGAAATATGTATAGACTATGATTCATCGTATGTTGCTCGTCTTTAAACTCTTTGTTTTAGGATTATTGTTAAAAGATTTTTTTAAATGGATTTAGGTATTCCTAAAGACCAACTTGTGGATTCTTTAATTTTATAATTTTATACATGTATGTATAAGTATTTGGCAAGTATATGTCATAATATGTTGAATAGTTATATAATTAATCATTATTGATTT